TTGTAGGCAGGCTGGAAAAAGCATACTGCATTTGAAGCCTCTGATCTGCAGGTTAAGCTTCACTTGGTCAAAGGATTTCCGGAGCTTTTGCATTTCCACAGAAAATTAGGGAACATCATAAGCTTTACTCCTGCCTGCAGAACCAGGTGATGGTCTCAGACGTTCAGGCATCCATTGCACCCATTCCACTGTAAAGAAGGGAGAAAATAGCACCTGTGGGAATAAGGTGCAGAGGAGGCGTTCTGTGAAGGCAGCAGGGTCTGGATCCTCGGTCCCCTCAGGCAGGCCCGGGATATGGAGGTTATTTCTCCAGAGTCTATTTTCAGCATCCTCTGCCCAAAATTCCAGAGCCTTGACCTTAGTGTAGAGAGTGTGGAGGGAGGCCAAGTGATCTCGCAGCGTATCCTCTGACTCACCCACATGGCACGCAGCCTTAGACAGTCAGGACCAAAATGTATCCGTATCTTTCCAGATGAGACCTATGTCCATCTGCAGGGTGTCAATCTTACCCTTCAGGGTAGTTTGGCAGGTGGTGATAGTCTGCATCAAGGCTGCAAAATTATCTTGCTTTCAGAACGTGGGGACCGTATCTTCCGTCTGGGTCACCATATTGGAGGCTCCTTCAGGCCGCGCTCCTGCACCGCCGGATATAGAGGATGATGTTGCAGTACTCCGAGACACCGACGATGGCTGTCCCCTGGTCATAGCAAAGCAAGGTGACAGTGGTGAGAAGGCAATAGTAGTAGAAAGCACTTAATCTGCAGGTAGCAGGATAATAGGCAGACAGGACAGCAGAGATCCTTCATTATGCATCTGCTTTGGTCGCCATCTTGGACACCTCACATTTTACTGTAAATGCGAATCCTGTGTCGCATTTCCCTATATTCTCACAGTAACAGAGCCTCATCCCGTCACAATGCATACATACAGTATATATAAGCCCACACATGTCCTTCCACTTCTCCTATGGCAGCAGAAGTGTCCTCACATGATGTGCTCAGTGCAGTAGTACTCTGATCCCAGGCCCTATGATGGCCCACACTCAGAGTTGGTTAAATGAGGATGGCCATCATTCAGCCAGGAAGAGAAGTGTAATGGACTGAAAGTGAGTATTTCCAAAAAAGCTGCTCCTTCCATTTTTAATAGCCTTCTTAATGACATTTTTTTAAACTGAACTGGGGTTCTGCTTTAAGTCACTATTTATTTCCGTATTTTTTGTTTAGAATTAGTTTGCTTTGTTTTCCAGCCCTCACTTCCCACATCTGCCCCTTTTTTGCTGCTGATTACGTGAGTGAATGCAGAAGCTCACAAGATACTTAAATGTAAATGGACCTGTATACGGCATCATTTATGTCTTGCCGCGAGTAAGGAAAATGTGTGCCAGGGAAGTTTTTAGAAACTGTTCGATTTTCCTTCAAACAGATGTCTGAACCTTTTTGGCGAGTTCCGCGTTGGATTTGACAGTTAGTTGCTTGAGGGACAACTGAAATGCATAGCTTTCCTGATCAGAATATTATATTTTTTTTCTGGATGTTAATTGCTGTGTCTGGCTGTGCATAAATAATTAATTATCCAAAACCCACACAGCTGTGACTGTTAGAGTAAATGTGATTGTGCTGTCATTCCTCAACAATTCTCTGTAATGTAACAAAGTAAAACAGTAGGAAACTCCTGGAATTACAAACATAATAAGACTATTGTTAGCTCATAAGCAAGATGGTAAACTGTACAAGAAATCAGAACTCATGCAGACATATAAACATCCATGCAAATGAAACCATCACTACTCTATATTAAAAAACAACCCGGGTATATGTTCAACATTGGAATACTGGCTAAGCAAAAACACATGGGCACTGGGCGTGCATATGACTGCCCTGGGCTAACATCATTCCAAAAAGCTGAGGCTAGAGAAAAGTTGGCTGGCAAATAAAAAGAGACTTTATCTTCAATACCTGTGATGCTGGAGGCAGCTGTACCTAAAGTGCAAAACAATTCCAAGAAACGTTTTAAATTTACTTAAAGTGTAAGTCTGGACAAAAATGGAAAAAAAAAATATTCACTACATTTCTGCATTATATGTATATTTTCCCATATATGGTCTAATGCGGCAAGTATAAAAATTACTTGTTAATCTGCTAAAAGTCCAGTGAACTTCTAAAGTTCTGATTGAGTTGACAACACTGCAGCTCTGCTGTTCTAAAATCCCAAGCAGTGTTGTCAGACCTGGATATTTCGCCTGTGCTGCACTACAGTCATTTCTTCCTTATATTTTGGAGATGAAGAAAAGGGGAGGCATTTTGCAGTGCAGCAGGATAGAACAGGGAAGGGCATTACATGCACAATATATTATAAAGGGGGTGGTTGCAGCCACAGCTACTGTATCCTTTAACTAATATCTGGAGAAATTTGAACAGTGGCCTTTTTAATAGTGCCCAAGGATTTAGCAAACCAATGAGATAAAACTAGTACATTTTTTTAAACATTATATTAAAAGCAATAAAACATTAAAAAGCCATCCTATATGGGGAGCACAGTGACTAAATGGTTAGCACTTCCGCCTGGCAGTACTAGGATCGTTGGTTCGAATCCCAACCATGGCACCACCTGCCTGACGTTTGCATGTTCTCCCTGTGCCTGCGTGGGTTTCCTCCGGGTACTCCGGTTTCCTCCCACACTCCAAAGACATGCTGGTAGGTGAATTGGATCCTGTCTAAATTGGCCCTAGTATGTGTATGTATGAATGTGAGTTAGGGACCTTAGATTGTGCACCCCTTGAGGGTTAGGGACTGATGTGAATATACAATATACAGTATATGTAAAAGCGCTGCATAAATTGACAGCGCTATATAAGTACCTGAAATAAAAATAATAAATATAGGTCATCTTGCCTTTGTGGAGGTATATAGTATAGGGAATATGTATATTCCCTAGGACTATGACTATCACTATCATATTATATACAATATACTGCATATTCTTAGCAGAAGATATATGACATTCCGCATACAACATGTATAAGTCTATAAACCAATACATTTGCTTGACTATTTAGAACCAAATTAATTACTGGCTACTGTGTGGGAATCACAACTTTCAGCAGCATAACTCTAACAGAACCACGTTTCTACCCTTATCTGCGGGTTTCACAGCAAGTTCTTTATTATCTTTCAACATCCCTAAAAGCCTTTATTTCACCAGGTGTTAGATTGTGATCTTTTCATAGGCTAAGTTCACACCTATGCAGTTTGCGTTTGAGCCATTTCTGAATTGCGTTTTGCATTTTTGCACTTGCGTTTTTGCCGCGTTTTGCTGCATTTTTTATGCGTTCTGCATTTTTTTTCATTTTTTAAAATTTTTCTTGTTGCTAAGCAGATTTAAAACACAAAACACAAAACACATAAAAAAACGCAGCAAAAATGCAATACATGCTTTTCTGAAGCATTTCCATTGACGTTTATAGAAACAAAAACGCAACTTTTTGTGTTCAAAAAAGTCCCTGACCCTTTCCAAAAAACACACCAGGTGAAAACGCAGAGATGTGAACCTGTCCCATAGGAAATCATGTTAAATGGACTGTACTGAATTTCTGCAAAACGCTGCAGAAAACGCTTAGGTATGAACCTAGTGTAACTCTTCTCCTCCAAAGGAGAGAGGGAGATGTACTTAATTGCATTCCAATACTTGGTCACCACAAGCCACTAATACCACACCAAAGGAACCCCCCCCTCCCCCGGAGTGGGCAGAGAAACTGATGGCATCAGAAGATGGCTTTTGGCTGGAAACGTAACATGTTATTGGATAGAATTATAGAGGAATATTGCATTATCGCTCAAATTAAAGTTTGGAGGTTGGAGATTGGTCAAGCAAACTTTTTGAGCCTATCTCTAAGGCAGCCAGTTGTACCTGCGAAACTGGTCAGGAATGGCCCAATACCACACTCCCAGGTCCTGCAGTGAACCCTCCGTGGACTTCTACCTCAAGATAAGTACCTTCATTGGCTATGGATACTCCTCCTTTTGGCTTTAACCTTTTCGTGCCAGCGCCTCCCGGCCCTTTAAGAGTTTCAGAAGCCGGGAGGTTTTAGGGTCATGTGACCACCGTGATTCGCTGTCACGGTGGTCACATGATCGGAAAAGTTCCCAACCAAAAGGGGAGATTGGGATCTTTCCAGGAGTCGCGGACATATGTGTTGGGAGCGCGCAGGGCGCACGCTCTCCACGCATAAATAATTTCTAATTGCATGCAAATATGCGGCCGCTCAGCATCAAGGCCCAGACGTCGAGAGGCTGCATATTTGCGTGCGCTCAGCATCAAGAGGATTAACTCTCCTATCCCATGCTGTTTTGCTGTTATTCTCTGGAAGGACTGGTGATCTTGCATTGTGTGCCTACTTCTCACTCATTATGTTCTGTTTGACTTAGAAGATATGTACAAGGTTTTATGCTTCAAGGTGTTGTTTTCCTCTCTCCCTTTAAAAGGGGATTGTGTGGTGGCCATTCCTTAAACTGAGCAGTTACTGTATATTCTGATTGCTTACAAGCTATACCATATGCACCCTTGCGCACTTAAAGGGACTGTGCCTCAGATAATGCCATTGCTTTGATTGAGAAGGCACTGCATACTCTGATTGCTTACAAGCTATACTATATGCACCCCTGTGCATTTAAAGGGACTGTGCCTCAGATAATGCCATTTCTTTGATTGAGAAGTCACTGCATACTCTGATTGCTTACAAGCTATATTACGTGCACCCCTGTGCATTTAAAGGGACTATGCCTCAGATAATGCCAATTCTTGAAAAGAGAAGTTACTGTCTACTCTGATTGTTTACAAGCTTTACCATGTGCACCCCTGTGTATCAAAGGGATTGTGCCTCTCTTCAACTAATGCCATTTCTTTATTTGAGAAGTTACTGCATACTCTGAGTGTTCACTAGCTATACCAATTACCTTCAGTCTGAGGAAATTCCGATGCTGGCTCATCTACATTCCAGGGAGTGGCTAATCGCCTATCACCTCACGGATGCCAACTCGGCCGCTACATGTTATATCTCCTAAAGGGAGTGCACTCTCCGTCCAACCACCTGTAGAGCAGGGACTGACAACTCATGGGGCCCCCGGGCAATAGGGGATCATTGGGCCCCTGTGTCCTTGCCCAAACTCAAAAATCCTATGAAAAAGGTACTAGGGGCATCTCATGGGGTCCCCTACTGACCCTGGGCCCTCGGGCAGTGCCCGAGTTTCCAAATGGTCAGTCCGCCCCTGCTCTAGAGCATACAGTACCTACTTTCAGAAACATCCATCAATACACCATTACTTCTCAGCTGAGTCCTTGACCTGATCATGTATGAGAGAGGTTACAGTGACCTGCTAGGACCTCCCCTAGATGGTGCCCTACAGCTTGGCACCTGAGGGGGTCACAGGCATTTCACATATCATTATTTACATCCTCCTCTGGACTGCATGTGGTCATATGTACAGGATCAGTTGCTGTTGTGACCTTTATGCCTTCATGTATGGGAGGCGTTTTTTGGACTATTACGCTTTTCCTTGTTTATGTGTAGGTATCTGCCCCCGGGGCATTGTTTAGTGTATGAGGGACATTTTGTTACTTCTTCCTGCATCCTTCCCTGTATTACACTAACATTTACACTAATCTCTATATATGTATGATTGGTCTGTTGCTGGATTTATCCTGGCGCTTATAGCTGGTCAAGTCTGGGTGTAGGAGTTATTTTTTATCATGTCAATTGAATTTTTTCCTGCATAGAATATGTTATATCTTACAAATGAATTATCCAAACAATTACTTTTCAACCAATGAGTTTCCCCTTATGGGGATTTACATACACGGGACCTGTGGAGTGTGGTATGATTTTTGTGTTTTGTTTTATTTTTGTCTGTGTTAATAAAGAAGTTTTTGTGTGACATTGATCACCTTCTCCTTTGTTTGAATTTTTTTTCTTGAGTATTTACAAATTCTCCATTCCAGTTGAGTCCACAGCTAGTCCTTTTTCTGGTAGTTTCTCAAAGTTTGCAGATTTCATTCTGTGGAAACTGGAGTTACACCACTGTTATCCTAGCAGTGACGTGAAGTTCATGAAGGACATGCTCTTGCTTAATATTCTGCACTTTGGAAGTGACATCTGCTTTCTTAAAGGGAAAGTGCATTCATTCATAGGCTCTTACTTTGAATGTTTAAGTAAATAATCAGAATGTGCAAAAAATGTCCATCTGAATTCATTGTAAGGGCTCAAATATACAATCATTACAATAATTTGTGAGCCCTTTTATGAACTTACTTTTTTAGAATGTGAAAAAAAATGCACCTGCAATCTGCAGTTTAAATTTTCATGCATTTATGTGTCTTACATTTACACAACTTTACCAATTCTTATATACATTTAGACAAACAAAAGCTAAAAGCAGTTTTCAGACAGGAAAATGCAGCAGGGGCTTTGGAAGTATGTACATACAAATGTGAAGTTAAGTGAAAAATGCAACGAGTACAGCTCCATTGGAAAAAATGTACTTTTTTTACCATTAGTCTTTATAAGTTTTTCATATATACCTCATAAAATCTGTGCTCACAATCTCAAGTCCTGAGATGATTTAGTATCAAACAGATACCAATCATTTCTTTATTATGAATGTACTCTCTTAAAATTGAACTGCTCCAAGTAAGTGCCTGCATCTGAAGCATAGGCACGTACCTTAAAGCTGAGTTCTAGGCAAGCAAATATAAAATCCAGGTAGGGGTACCCCTCCCACCAAAACAAGACCCTCACCCCTTTTAGCTAATTGTTCCTTCCATTAAAAAAATGAAAGCCTCAAATAATCATCTAAATTCAGAATCATGTGAGACAGAATCCCATGTCTCCTTGCTTCTTAACTGCAAATTGGGAAGGTACTTTTTGGATGCCCAGTGAGGCTGCCTGATGATGTGGACATTGTTCCAGCTTTTCCCCTTTATTTTCACATCATTTCCACTTTGTATCTATGAAGAGAACCATGGTTGTCACATAGCTTCGAATTAAAACATGTTTGCCTTTGTTCATCTCCATTTTAATGGTGGATTGCTGGGACTAGTTATTTACAAAAGAGAGATGTAGGGTAAGGCACTGAGTATAGTTTCCCATTTTGGCTTTGGTAACTGTCTGGGTGACATGGTAGCTATGCCCGTGCTAGGTAAAAGGAAACCCTGGGAGAGGCGATATTATAGGAAGGCTCAGGAGAAGAAGGGGAAGTCCTATGCAACAGAACAGTGTAAATAGATTATCTGTCTGTGGACCAGGAATGGACCAACATGTAGGCAGGAAGTTATCTTCATGTAGCTTCTCCTTAGGGGAGCAAGCTGGAGGACTTTTGCAAATGGGACTACTTGCATTTCCTCTGTGGGCTGAGGGGATTCTGGGATCACCTCTTTTTGCCTAGGTAATTTGTCAAACTATACCTCTCATCTCATTACTCTCTCTCTCTATTGCTGCAAACGGTCTGCTATTTATTGACACTCTTCCAACTATGTGCCACCCTCTGGGAGGCTGAGGGGTTATGTTCTAGTCATCAATTTGAGTAAACAAATAAAAGCATATCTGTATTGGCTGCTTGCTGATTCTAGCTTCAAGTGAGCTTCTCTTGGAAAGGAGAGTCACAGAGGGATGTGCTATGAGCAAGGCCAGTAACAGGTTGAAAGAGGGCCGTGAGGCTCTGATAATTCCAGGATGGGTTTCTCAGGGTGTCGCCTTTACAGTAGAAATTACGGGAACCCTGGGGAGACCAGAGCTAGAGGACCTCGGTGAGCAACATATATCAGCTTAGCCGGACAGTTAAAGCTTAAAGTGGTTGTAAACCTCAGACATGAAATATGAACAAAGCATATCCCTCTATAGTGTGTACTTGTCCCGATTAAGAGCACTAAGTGTCATTTCGTTCTGCTACTTTGTTCCTCTGCTATCAGCATGAATCACTTCTGACAAGTTTTTGTAACACCAAGAGTAAAAGAGTTGCGGGGAGGAACCTCCAGTAGAGTGACAGCCGCAGCTTTGTTCCTGTGAGCTGTGTGGAAGAGAGGCATGTCTCTTCCCTCCAATCAGCTCAGAGAACTCTACCTCATTGAGCACTGCTGACTGTAACTTCAGCTCTCCACCCCCTTTTTTCTTAACTCTCAAATAAACTTTTAAATTCAGCACTTTGAACGGCTGTACAAAACAGAAGATTGCAGATAAACAGGCACAACGTATGTAGGAGGATTTGTTTAATCTCTGAGTAACACCTGAGGGCAGTCACTTCACTAGATATATGTAAGACTTTAAGGAGCATTTGCTGTCCCTTACTATACAACAGAGATGACATTATATATGCAGTATTTTCAGCTCAGAAAAATTGACAAGGACACTACATTTCTGGTAAGATCAACAGGTATATATAAAGAATGTTTTTAGCCTAAAAAAAGCAGAAAGCAGCCATCACATCTACGAACTGCTAAGCTGAAATTTGTTACATTTTTGTTTTTGTGTTTAGATATATTTTAAGCCAATGTTGTTTTCCCGACCCCCCAGTTCCCTGTAAGAAAGCATAGCTAGGTCCTTGGCCTACTTTGTAGTGGCAGGACAGCTTGATTAAAATACACTCCAAGTTTTCTACAGGAACATAGTAAACAATCTGGGGTAGATTTACTAAAGCTAGTTCACTCTGAATCTGGTGCAGCTGTGCATGGTAGAAAATCAGCTGCTAACATCAGCTTGTTCAGTTAAGCTTTGGCAACAAAACCTGGAAGCTGATTTTTTTTTTTGATGCAGAAGTGAACCTGTTCTTTTATCCCTTATGGATGATCCATATCAGCATAAACACAATTTTTTAAAAGCTATATTTTATTTTTATAAGTAATTTTTTCCATTGAAGCTATTTACCAAAAAATTTAAAATGAAAGTTCACAATCTCAATCAACATTGACTATTTGTAATCTTTATGCTGCAAGCATTGGTAAATAGATAGGAAGGTATATTATATTTACTTGTTTTAAACTCTTTTTTCTTTACATTTCTTCACTTGCTTCCAGGTTCCCAGGCCTAGACAAGTGATGTCATACATCCCAGGAGTCTTCAAGAGGGGAGGAGGGGTTTTCTCATCTAAGTACATCCTACTGTCTGAGCTAAGGGCAGATGGATTCCATGAAGTAAATGCTACATGAATCATCTGCCCTTACTCAAGATGGCCATGGCCATAAATACTAGGGAGTGTTTTTCATAGTGATTTCTCAGCAAAATAAAGCATGGGGACATGGATGGATGGGTGAGTTTGCTTTGACTGCTAAAAATGTATTAAATCATGTTTTTGCTTTGTGGTGCTTAGATTCAGTGTAGATCCGCTTTAGCTCAGCAGTTACTAATGATACATAACAGGGGCAGACTGACAACTCATGGGGCCCCTGGGCAATAGCGGATCATGGGGCCCCTGTGTCCTTGCCAAACCCAAAAAAGCCTATGAAAAAGCTAATGAAAGGTACCAGGGGCATTTCATGGGGCCCCCTACTGACCCCAGGCCCTCGGGCAGTGCCCGAGTGCTCTAATGGTCAGTACGCCCCTGATACATAATCACGGTAAAGGACAACTGTTGCGGAAAATATGAAATTCTCATGTATGTAGTTATAGCATACAGTGATAGTATTCTGTGTATCAATTCCCTTTCTTTCAATTTCACATGCCTTTATTTATATTCAAAACTGTCAGCAAAAGTGACAGGGGTTGGGACAAACTAAAATACTGCCATTTTTTTTTTCTTACAAAGAAAGAATAAAAGAAAATTTAAAACCTGTGATTTAAAAGGTGACCGCTGAAAGCAACCCTGACATTGGTATAGATTGTCCCAACTATTGTTATCATAATTTTTGAGAGTTTGGTTTTCATATACATGTGGAGAGAATTTAAATTAATTAACCACTTGCCTACCAGGCACTTATACCCCCTTCCCTACCAGGCCAATTTTCAGCTTTCAGCGCTGCCGCACTTTGATTGACAATTGCGCGGTCATGCAACATTGTACCCATATGAAATTTTGATCATTTTTTTCTCACCAATAGAGCTTT